TGGGGAAATGTGTGCAATAGGAGTTCATCTCAGGCTGAAGGTCATCTGGAAACACATACTGGAAAGCCCCTAGTACTCATTTGTGTAAGAGGTCAGAAGTCAGACTCAGACCTTGGGATTAACTTTTAAAAAAAATCTCCTGACATTTAAACAAAACTAATTTTGGAAGGGCTGGGGTTGCATGTCATGATTTTTTATTTTTTTTACTCTTGGGGTTGGCAACATTCAAATTGATCCTTTTAAAAGGGGTCAGTTAATTTAAAAAAAAAAGTTGAGTGAAAAGATGAGCGCTCCCTGCCCAAACACTATCTGAGACCTAGGAGTAAATCATGAGATATTGAAGCATTCTCTAGTCTACAGCCCTACTAGGAAGTCTTGTAACAACAGAAGTGAATGTATTGAATGGAAACACTTGAAGTGACCTATTTTGGGGTTGAGGCCCTTTTGTGTCTATAAATGCTGCTTGTATTCTATGGTGTTTAATATTAATCCATTAATAAACACACAAGCTATTTAAGTAATTGTCTTCCAACCTTGAAAATGTTCCTATTCAGGGCTTCCACAGTGATCTAACCTCTGCTGGAGTCTCTGCAAATTGCAGGACTTACTTACTTATCTCCAAAGTGAGGAGGAATAATTTTGTTTCATTTTTATCATTTGAATTTAAATGCCAGCTGCAGGCTTTGTCAGTTCTAGCCATCTGAAAGAAGCAGCAATGAGGTTGAGTCCACGAACAAAACGAAAAAGTTACTTGGTTTGATACAAGTGAGTCTTGTGAAGTGATTTTTTTGAGTCTAAATTCTCTTATTGTGGTTAGGTATAGTAGTAGTTCCAGACAAACTTGAAAATGTGTGTTAGAAAAGGGCAAAATAATTGGAGTATACCATTGTGTGCAAGATTAATTGGACCATTTTCAGACCTGCTGTAAGCAGGTGCAGCTCTCTTGACTTCAGTGAATTTGTACCCTTTAAATCAACTCTGGGTGTGGGCCAGTGGGCCAGTTCTTTCAAATTAATTATACAGGGACAGCATCATGTTAAGTTTTGACCCAGTGCATACATTTTGCACAAATAAGCTTTTAGAAAAACTATGATCAGTAGAAATGTTCCCTTTTTTTAAAAAGTATTTGAATGGAAAATGTTTTTAAAATAAATAAATAGTGCAGTGGCTACAACCAAACATTTTAGTCTTGTGCCTGAGGACCAGAAACTGAAGCTGACTAGAAACAAATGTGAAAATGACTAGGCTCTCTATTATCCAAGCTATTATAAATGCAAACAGTAAGCAGTATAAATGGTGAAAAGTAAATTGGATTTCTACTATTGTTTTACTCATCTATGATATTGGTGAGAAGCACATTCTTGTAAATAGCAACAGAGGGTCCTGTGGCACCTTTAAGACTAACAGAAATATTGGAGCATACAATACAAAGAGTACAAAGGGACTCTTGAATTAAAATATATTTTTAATTCAAGAGTCCCTTTAATCTGAAGGAAGATTGCAAAAATACTGAGAGATGCCAAATCATTGTGTTATAAGTGTTTCCAATATGTACACTGAAATGGATTTCCTATTAGGAATCCTATAACCTAACCAGAATCTAATTGCCATAGTATGTGGAGGGAGGAAGTGCCAATGTTGTAAGAATGTACTGCCCCCTGGTGGTGGACAGTCACCATTACATATTTTATAGACCTTTCATAATTTGTTTTAATTTACCTGATGATTTATCTAACATCTGTTTGATTGAGGTTCATACCCTTACTGATAGCATGATGGAGTGAGACAAAGGGAATTCCTGTCCAAATTCAAGGAACTGGTTAGAAATACTGAACACTGATTGAAATTCACTTTTAATTTTGCATAAGATTTGACATTTCTTCTATGAAGATTTTTTTTTAACCCACCTTTGCCCCTTGTGTCCCTTTTCTATCCACCCTGGTGTTCTTGTGGTCCTGTGAGCAACACTTGGTGCTTTTTGTGTAAAGACATCCAGACCCATGGAACACTGTGTTCTCTGTCAATATGGTGGTTGTGGATTGCAGCTTTTTCTAGGCTTTGCTGCCTTCTGATAGAGGGTGTGCGGTGTGCTGCCAGAAACAGCCTTTTCTTATGGATTGATTTGAACCTTCTTGGCGAATTCATTTTAGAATTTTTTAAATATCCAAAGTGGTGATAAACATTAGAGGCAAAAAATATCTTATGTTCTTTAATAGGATTTACAGCTGTGAATGTGCTTTAATAGAATGTATAGCTAGGCTGAAATCCCCCTCCATAATAAATTATAACTTCATGATTCAGTATTGTATTTCCCCATGTTTATTACTTTGTCTGCTGCTGTAAATGTTTGGGAGGGACAAAGGCATATGAGCAAAACCAAAAGTTTTGTGCGTGAGAAAACAGGAAGCATGGGCTAATGGTTAAAGCCTAGAACTTGGACTCAGCATATTTAGGTTCTTATTCTTGGTTTGGCCACTGGCCTGCTCTGTGTCCGTGGGCGAGTCACTTTACCTCTCTGTTTCTCCGTTCTGCCCACCTGTGAAATGAAGATAATGCCACTTCATCATCTCACAAGGTGGTTTGAGACCTAATTCAAGAAAGTTTGTAAAGTACTTTGAACTCTTCGTGTGTATTATAGAAAACTAAATCAGTAAAATTACTGAGTGGAGAGCAGAGTGTGAACCTACAGGCAACCTAGCACCTACCATTTCTCAAAGCAAGAAGGCATTAAGGGCTATGGGGGCCAAGGAAAGACTCATGTTATCCTAAAGCTCCCTAGAGAACAGCATAGCAGATCTGGAGGTTGCTTAGCTGCCTTCCATGGCCATGAGCCTGTTCTGATCATATCTCAGGGGTGGGCCAACTTTTTGGCCCAAGGGCCACATCTAGGTATGGAAATTGTATGGTGGGCCATGAATGCTCATGAAATTGGGGGTTGGGGCATGGGAGGGGGTGAGGGCTCCAGCTGGGGGTGTGGGCTCTGGGGGGGGGCAGAAATGAGGAGTTCAGGGTACAGGAGGGGGCTCTGGGCTGGGGCAGGGGGTTGGGGTAGGGGGGTGAGGGCTGGGGGTGGGGATGAGGGGTTGGGGATGCAGGAGGGTGCTCCAGGCTGGGACCGAGGGGAGTTTGGAGGGCAGGAGAGGGATCAGGGCTGGGCAGGGGGTTGGAGCCCAGGAGGGGGACGGGTGCAGGATCCGGGCAACGCTTACCTCAAGCAGCTCCCGGAAGCAGTGGCATGTCCCCCTTCTGGCTCCTACCCAGAGGCATGGACAAGGGGCTCTGTGCATTGCCCCATCCGCAGGCGCCGTCCCTGCAGCTCCCATTGGCCATGGTTCCCTGCCAGTGGGAGCTGCGGGGGCAGCATGCAGAGCCCCCTGGCTGCCCCTACGCATAGGAGCCGGAGGGGGGACATGCCGCTGTTTCCGGGAGCCGCGTGGAGCAAGCACCGGACCCTGCTCCCCAGCGGGAGCTCGAGGGCCAGATTAAAACATCTGAAGGGCCAGATGCGACCCCTGGGCGGTAGTTTGCCCACCCCTGTCATATCTGCTCTGGAAATGTCAGGCCAGAATACTAAGGTGTATGTTAAACTGGCTTAAATCCCCTAGTTAAGGTATGGGGAGATAAGAGTCCCCTTAGCATATGTCATTTGCTTGAGTCAGGCAGATGCCCTCATTCTAGTTAGCAGAAACCCCTTCCAGAGCATTAGAAGAGCAGTGAGAGAATAGAGCTCTGTAAATATGTCAGGACAATTATTTCTTTGTTCTGTGGAGGGCTTAAGTGGTAGGTGAGAGACACTGAGAGGGGATGCTAGCCCTCACCTTGCAATGGTCAATGAATACAATGATGTTGGAAGGTGTTGGTTCATAGCCCTAAAGGCTGAAGTTTTCTGCTTCTCCAGAACAAATACAAGATGGCCAATGGGAGCTATGGGGGCGGCGCTTGGGGCAGGGGTGGTGTGCGGAGTCCCCTGGCTGCCCCTAAACGTAGGAGCCGGAGGGGGGATGTGCCTCTGTTTCCGGGAGTCATAGCACACGCCTGCGGAGCGTATCCTACTCTCTGACTGGAGCGTGGGAGCAGGGCAAGCCCCAGACCCTGCTCCCCAGCAGGAGCTTGAGGGCCAGATTAAATCAGCTGGCGGGCCGGGTGTGCCCGCAGGCCATAGTTTACTCACTACCCTTCTACAGTGTCCCCTGAATTATGGTCTCTTCCAGAAGGAACATTCTTCAAGTTTACAGCCTGAGGTTTATGAAGGAAGTACTGTTGGCCAGTAAGTAAAGATCTGTAACTTACAAACATAGCTGAAGCCTGCAATACCTCTTTGTGTCCCTGAGCATTGTGTTTAATTCAGGTTTCAAAAGCCAGAGAGAGAATTTCCCCTGCCGAAAGCAGCAGTGACCCACTGAGGCAACTTCCAAGGTCATAATGAAGCTGATGAATAGAAGAGACCCCTATGTTCGAGAGGTCATCCGGTTTGCAGTGTGTTGCAGAGCCCTGACACTTGTGCTCCAGGCAAGTCTCCTCATGAACACAAGACATTGTACTAAATGTAATATACTACTTCAGAGTTACCTCTTCAGTACTGCAGGGTGTATTGTGAGCTATCACGATCTTCCTGATTGTAATTGGACTTCTCATGCAGAGGCCTACAAGCGGCATCTGGGAAGTCATGTTGCTGTCAAATAGAAGTTTGACATGGTTAATTTATTTTTAAATTAAAACTTTTGTGTGAATTCACTGCTGTTGCAAGGGGCTGTATTGACAGTTCTGTAGACTGAAGTCCCCTGTTTATCCACAAAACAGGTACATCAATCTTCCCACGCAAACGATTCCCAAGTCTCAAACCTAGAGGCACTATCTCTAGACATGAGGACATCTCAGTGCTCATGGCTAGGGCCCTATCAAATTCATGGTCCATTTTGGTCAATTTCATGGTCATGGGATTTTAAAAATTATAAATTTCATGATTTCAGGTATTTAAATCTGAAATTTCATGGGGTTGTAACTGATGGGGTCCTGACCTAACTGTGAAGGCAGGAGTGTAGAAGTAAGGGTGGCAATACCATACCATGCCACCCTTCTGCATTTCTGCTGCTTGCAGGGCACTGCCTTCAGAGCTGGGCACCTGGCCAGCAGCTGCCGCTCTCCGGCCACCCAGCTCTGAAGGCAGTGCAGAAGTAAGGGTGGCAATACCGTGACACCCCCCCCCCCACAATAACCTTGCAAAAAAAACCCATTACCCTCTTTTGGGTCAGGACCCCCAGTTTGAGAAACGCTGGTCTCCCCCGTGAAATCTGTATTGTATAGGGTAAAAGTACACACAAGACCAGATTTTTATGGGGGGAGACCAGATTTCATGGTCCGTGATGCATTTTCACGACCGTGAATTTGGTAGGGCCCTTCTCATGGCCCATTCACTCCTTAGTGTGTCTGCTGAGACTGTCAACAAGGAACCCAGCTGTTTTGTGACGTGAAACCAGTCTAACTGGGAAAGAGATTGAGCACCACCAAACAGCCAACCGATAGTAACAACTTTTGGTCTCTACTGGGTTGGGTTGGATTTGAACAACGTCTGAGAGATGAAAGGCTCCATATGAGATACACCTTCTCCTAGAACTGGAAGGGACCTTGAAAGGTCATCGAGTCCAGCCCCCTGCCTTCACTAGCAGGACCAAGTACTGATTTTGCCCCAGATCCCTAAGTGGTCCCCTCAAGGATTGAACTCACAACCCTGGGTTTAGCAGGCCAATGCTCATGAAAAAGTCTCCCAAGTCAGCCAGTTTCCTGGTAATGTAGGTTTCATTGTAAAGCATCAACATTTATTTTTTTAATTACAGTTTGTTAAATGCAGCCCCTTTTTTCTTTCTTTCTGTTCTCCTTCCCCTGTCAGTGCCAACACTGACATAATTGTACAAGGGACACCCCTAATTCCGCATTTGAAGCTTCAGGACTGCTCAGTCAGATGCATGACTTTCATCTGGCTGGGTATTACAGTGCTTTAAAATTTAGACCCTAGCCTCTTGAGCTTTCTGTTTTTCTCTCATCTGTTAAAACATGGTGCATGCCGCAAACTCACAAAGGGGCTCGTTTGTTGGGAGTCCCGTTCGCCTTTCTAATATGAAGGTCAGGGGACACCTTTGTGTCAGCTCCAACAGCAGCATGCTAAGCTAAGCAGCAGAGACAATGGGAGTGTGATCTAGTAGCTGGAAAAGGGGCCTGGGCACTGCATTAACCTGCTGTGTGACATAAGTAAGACTCCCCCCCCCCGTGCCTCAGTTTCCCCATATATAAAGTGGGGGTCAAAATGTCTATCTCACCAGCGTGCGGGGGGGGGGGTTGTGAAACAATCATTGTAAAGCAGTTTGAGAGGTTTAGATGGAAGTTGCTATCTTAGTACATTCACTAGTACATACAGCGTTAGAGCTGTTCTGGAGTAGAAATGAGTAAAGTGCGCTTCATAGCTAGCTACAGAATCACAGCCATTACAGAAAGAAAAGACCTGCTAATTCATCTCCATTTCCCACCTCCTGCACCACAGAGGTTAATGCAGGATTTGGATTTTTCCCTGCATATTTTCCAGAGCGTTGTCTGGTCTAGATTTGAAGGTTCCAAGTGAGTCTCTGGTGAAAACCCAAATATGTTGTAGTCTAACAGGTCTCACCACCTCAAACCTTTTTCCGATACTCAAGGTATGCTACACTGCTAAAAAAAAAAGTGTATTTTAAATCAGGATAGCTAACCAACCTTCACTAACTTGGGCTAACAGAGCAGCGAAGGCATGGCAGCTCAGATTAGCATCTCGAGCTAAAACCCATGGGGAGCCTGGCGTTGAACTTGAGCTGCTAACAGGTTTCTTTGCAGTGTAAACATACCCTTAGCCTGCATTTCTTGGCTCCTACTTATGCTCCCTTCTTGGAGTTAACACTTGGAGTCCCTGGAGTCCTCCTCCTGCTTGGGACTAGATTTGACTGTCTTCAGTGCGAGAAGTCACAATAGGATGCTTCATTAATTTCAGTTCTCTCCCTCTCTCTTCCAGGCCCTGTTTAACTTCTTGATCCCGGATCATGCAGCAGATGCCTTCTCTCCTCCCCGCCTGTCAGAACCCAGCCTCTGTGACTGGTTGTCAGAATGGCTGTTGGGGGGCTTGTCGCACTGGGATGCAGAGCACTTCCTGTTCATAGCTGAGCATGGCTACCTGTATGAGCACAACTTCGCCTTCTTCCCAGTGTACCCCCTCAGTGTGCGAGCCGTGGCAAAGGTCATCCTGTGCCCTCTGCAAGGGCTACTGTGTTTACGGAGCCGCCTGCTCTTGTCAGCGGTGCTTTTGAATGCTCTCCTCTCAGTCCTGGCAGCTGCTGTCCTCTATGAGCTGGGGTGTGTGGTGCTGCGGTGTCGCAGGATGGCCTTCCTCTCTGCTGTCCTCTTCTGCCTCACCCCCGCCAATGTGTTCATGACAGCCGCTTACTCAGAAAGCATGTTTGCTTTCCTGGTGTTCAGTGCCATGCTGCAGCTGGAGAAAGGGCAGCGCTGGACCAGCGGACTGCTCTTCTCCCTTGCTGCTGGTGTGCGCTCCAACGGGGTGATCAACACCGGCTTCCTCATCTATTCCCAGAGTAAAGACCTTGCCCTCCAACTCCAGGCAGGTGCTGGGACTGTAATGAAGCTGCCTCAGGTCTGGAGACGACTCCTCCGCTTTGCAGCTTCAGTGGTTCTGATGTCTGCTGGGGTCTTTTTCCCTTTTGCTTTGTTTCAGTCCTATGCCTACTTGAGGTTCTGCAATCCTGACGCCAGCTCTGAACATGCTGTTCCCAGGCCGCTATTGCAACTGGCTGTGGATAAAGGGTATCGTCTAGCGGCCATGAGTGGGATGAAACCTGCGTGGTGCTCCCAGGGGCTCCCTGTGGTCTATTCTTACATTCAAGATGTTTACTGGAATGTGGGCTTTCTAAGGTACTTTGAGCTTAAACAGGTACCCAACTTCCTGCTTGCTGCGCCGGTTACTGTGCTGGGCTCTTGGGCCACCTGGTTCTACCTCACTGCAAATCCCCAGTACTGCTTAATGCTTGGCCTAGTGAGAAGAAAGAAGGAAGGAAGGAAAGGAGAGGACTCTGATAAGCCAGTGGATGGATTTCGCTGCACCAGTGTCTTCGTTTACGTGGTCCATGCCATGGCTCTTCTGGCCTTCGGAATCCTCTGCATGCACGTGCAGGTGAGACATTTGAAGCAGCATATGGCAGTGGTGTCTTTAAAGGAATTTAATGCTGGGGGCGAGGTGGTAGATTGACAGCCATGGAGATAGAAGTTGTCTAGCCACAGAACAAGGACAGGGGCAGTGCAAGCTTCTCTCTCAGCACATGTCCTCCTGCTCTGTAGGAACCACTTCCGGGTCAGAGATGACTGTTCCGTTTCCCCTGGCCATTTAGTTCCTTTTCTTTCATTGAGACTGCCTAAAAGGAGGCCCATTAGGTGCCAAGTGTGATGGGAACATTTGTCCACTAGGAACTACTGGCTTGTTTCACTTTGGCCACTTATCTAATGGATGGTATTTTTAACATGCTTATCACCGGGACAGCAAAGTGCTGCTAGTCAGCTGTCAGGGGGTAAAGGCTTTGCGCCACTACCACCTTGGGCTGGACTTGTACTGGTGACCTGGAAGAGAAAAGCTCTGTAACCTCGTACCAGTCTCTAGAAGTGTTTCAAGACTACTTAAAACGTGGCTAGTGGCAGTAGAAAGTTGGGGATTCCAGAACCCCCAGATGTGGGTCATGAAGCATTAAATCAAAACTCAAGTGGAGGTGGTTCTCTCTCTCTCTCTCTTCCCCTGCCTTCCAGTGTATGAGCAGGACTCCTCCTTCTGGAGTCTGTCCCCTCTCACTTGGAATCCTGTTAAATAACCTTTCCAGTCTCTGACATTGCTCTGCCAGGTCCCCAGCAGATCTATGGGTGTCAATGTTTGCATGTGTTCAGCAGGCAGGGATTAATGGAGAATGTCTCTGGATTCCTCCTATGTGCTGGTAGTCTGTCCCTCCAATTACTCTAGACCCTTCAGGGTTCTGGAGGGTTACAGGACATACATCGGGGTGGGCAAACTTTTTGGCCCGAGAGCCACATCTGAATATGGAAATTGTTTGGCGGGCCATGAATGCTCACGAAATTGGGGGTGGGGGTGCGGGAGGGGATGAGGGCTCCGGCTGGGGGTGCAGGCTCTGGGGTGGGGCCAGAAATGAGGAGTTCAGAGTTTGGGAGGGGGCTCCAGGCTGGGGAAGGGGGTTGGAGTGCAGGGGGGGGGCTCTGGAGTGGGGCTAGGTATGAGGGGTTGGGGGTGCAGGAGGGTGCTTCAGGCTGGGACCGAGGGGTTCAGACGGTGGAAGGGGGTCAGAGGTGCAGGCTCCGGGTGGCGCTTACCTCAAGCAGCTCCTGGAAGCAGCAGCATGTCCCCCCTCCGGCTCCTATGCGGAGGCGCGGCCAGGCAGCTCTGTGCGCTGCCCTGTCTGCAGGCCCCATCGGCCTCAGTTCCCAGCCAATGGGAGCTGCGGAGGCGGCACTTGGGGCAGGGTCAGTGTGCGGAGCCCCCTGGTTTTCCCCTACGTGTAGGAGCCTGAGGGGGAACATGCTGCTGCTTCCGGGAGCTGCGTGGAGCCATGGCACGCACAGAGCGGGGCAAGTGCCCGACCCTGCTCCCTGGCTGGAGCGCTGGAGGAGGGCAAGCCCTGTACCCTGCTACCCGGCGGGAGCTCAAGGACCAGATTAAAAATCTGAAGGGCTGGATGCAGCCCCTGGGCCGTAGTTTGCCCACCCCTGACATACATGCTAGAGGCGATGCCATGGAACCACAGGGTTAACTCAGTCCTTTATTCTTCACAGGAGACAAACTGCTGCCATTCAATTTAGTATATGGGGGGCGGGAGGGGTTCTTGTCACTTTCAATAAGTTGTTTGCTGTGTAGTTGTAGCCATGTTGGTCCCAGGATATTAGTGAGTGGGTGAGGTAATATCTTATATTGCACTAACTTCTTTCCAGAAGAGCAAAGGGAGTTGTTTTAGGCTATTGTTTCCCCTCTCCACACTGTTCTGCAGAGTGCCTGTCGCTGTCATCCGCAGAGATGGTTGCATTTTAGTGATGCTGCATGCATAGCATTTGTAAAGTGCTTTGGGATCCTTTGAGATGTAAGGCTCTTCATAAATGTAAAATAGTCATCTTCTTATTTAGGGTTTGGCGCTCTCATCTTCCTTGGGGAAGATAGCAAGATTCACGTCTTCGCTGTAGCTCTGCTCAGGAATAGTGCCCTGATTTCTGCAGAGCTGTGGCAAGTAAACTGTTGCTGTGTTTTTCTGTAACCTGGAGGTTACTTGGCTGCTTTTACAGACATCTTTCTAAACATAACCCTGAGCTGAGAGGCATTTTATTTCATATTCTTTTATAATAATAAATTCTAGCACCATAAAGTGGGGCTATATTTCACTCCAATTTGTCAGTAGTCTGAGGCAGATAGATTGCACCTTTCATTCCTCAGAATCAGGGTCACTTAGAGTCACTGGCACATAATTAATGTGCTTTTCCCCCCCCTGCTGTTTTCAGGTTGTAACCAGGTTCCTAGGCTCGTCTACACCAGTCTTGTACTGGTTCTCTGCTCATCTGCTCCAGGACTATGAACCTTTGCTGTGGAAAGAAGGAGCTGCTATCCAGACTGCAGCATCCCTCTCCAAGAAGCCCAGTGTAGGCAGCTCTTTTCCTGGATCGTTCAGAAAAGGGATTTCTGAAAACCCCATCATGAGATTACTGCTGAACTGGAGAATAAGTTCCCCTCTCACCAAATGCATTCTGGGATACTTCCTGTCCTACTGGCTGCTGGGGCTGATCCTACACTGCAACTTCCTGCCTTGGACATAGTTAGAGTTTGAGAACATGTATTTGTGATGGACCTGCTAATGGGAACAGAATCGCTGCTCAGAATATAAACTCTTTTTTAAACTTGACATAAGTGAATTGATGCTACTATCTTTCTTTTTATTTCCAAAGGTATACAGAGCCCCCAATATGTGCACATGACTCTGTGCTCTTATTGCTGTAAACCTCATCCTTCCTCATTCCATTCTCCCCCCTACCATTTGTCACCATTACTGGTCGTATGATGGCTAACATCTAATCTGTAAACTCTTTGGGGTGGCGGTTGTCTTTTTATTCTTATGTCTTCGGTGAAGCACTTTACCATAATTAATAATTGTCCCGTGAAATGAGTTATAGGCCTGTTTAAGGTTATAGGTTAGGTTATAGTTGACATGTCTATCTGCAGAATCCAAATTGGGGTTCTGAGGTGGTGGAGAAACTCAAGGAAGCATCCTCTAGCTCGCAGTGAGAAGCTTTCCTAGTGTGCTCCTCTTCCTGTAGGAGCGCCTGGGCATCATAGCGAACAGGTGGAGTCAACAAAGGAGTTGGCTGGAGAGGTCCCTAGAGAAAGTTGTTAGAGGTTCTCAAGCTAGGGCATGTGGAAATTCACAAGGGTGTATCAGAGTGTTTGAATGTTGTCAGTAAAGTTTGTGGACTTTACGAGAGTCACTTTTCCCCCTAAATAAAAAGACATCTCTAGCTTTGGAAAGTTTGAGAACTGCCTGGGGTGGGTAGGAGAGTCAGTGTGATAGGGCCTACAGCTTGGAGAGTACTGTCGGGAAGTTGGACATTGAGGGAAGGAAATAAACATTCCTGTTTACTTCATTAAATAGTAGGGGAGTGTTGCCCTCTGGTTACAGCAGGGCAGAGGGACTCAGGTCTGATTCCTATTTCCAGTTCTGCTGTTGACTTACTGTGTATTCTGGAGAAAGTCACTTGGTCTTTATGCCCTGATTCTACTCTCTCTCAAAATGAAGACAGTGCTACTTCCCACTCTCACCAAAGGATTGTGAACTGTGTTTAATGAATGTGTGAAGCTCTTTGAGATCTTTTATAGAAGGCACTAAAGAAGGGTAAAGCATATACTGTTTTTAGCTTAAAACAGAATAAGCTAATTGTAAATGTGGTAGTCTCCAGCTATCCAAGCTTCTGATTAGATGAAGGCTTGGGGATACATGTACACAGCAAGCAGAAAGCCATGGCAGTGAGTCTCAGAGCTTGGGTCTACAGACTCAGGTCACAGGGCTCATGCTACAGTGCTCAAAATAACTTCAGAGCCCAAGCTCCCCACTGAGCCTGAATGTCTGTCTATGCAGCTATTTTAGCACTGCAGCATGAGCCCTCTGAGCCCAATTCTGTAGACCCAGGCTCTGCTGCTGGTTTCTACTTGACATGTAGACGTACTCTGGGTGTCCCCTGAGACTTCTGGTTCTACAGTATTTAAGTATACTATACATATATGACCAGGTAATGATTTTCGGTGTTGTACATTTACACACACACACGCGCGCTTCCTCCCTTGACACACACGCTTCCTCCCTTGACACACACACACACGCTTCCTCCCTTGACAGTAGCTGTTTGTAGCTGGACACCTTGGTTTAAATCCTGCTTGAAGCAGGTCATAACTGCAAATTAATTTGGAAGATTCCTCTGAGGTGCTGGCAATTGTCACCCCTTTGATTCCAGGAGGGACAGACTTAAAGGAAATGAGAAGCAGGCATACCTGCATCCGGGAACATACCGAACATCCCACACAGCAGTAGGCTAATGTAGCAAACATGACTGATAATGAGACTTTAAAAACAAACGTACTCTGAAACTCTCCAGCTAACTGGAAGAGGCTATAGTGAGATTTTCCAAAGCAGCCACTGCATCCTGGATGCTGCCACTGAAATCAGTTGAAGTCTGCGAAGATCTGCTTGAGGGATTGGGTCCATATTTTTGAGCCTGTAGAAGGCAAGTGTATCTTCAGTGTTTAAGCTTTGCCTTCTCTACATGAAAATTCTGCTGATGTTTTTAGTCAGACTTTGCACTGGTAAATAAGAATAAAAATTTAAACTTAAAACTCCAAATAAAACAATGAGTAAAGATAGACCTGTTGCCATTTTAGTATCTCTCTGGTTGTCAGAAACAACTCGTAAACTGAACACATTTGAACTGGAGTCTCTGAGACACAATAGCAAGAGGTGGTGCAACACAGAAAGAGTAGTAGCACTCTTTAGTGGGGACAGAGGGCTACAGTCATTCATAAAACTACAGGAGCCTGAACATGAGGCCCCAACTGCCAGCCAACACCCAGGAGGCTACTTCATGCCTACACACAGCAGCAGTGTCTTATGTTGCTGATGCCATTTCAGTAATTGCTTGCACAGGTTGACACTTCCTGGACTCCAGCTGCTGTTGCTTTGGGCTTTGCTGACCCTGGTTATTGCTGTGAAGGGGGATGAGGCTCCTTATTGCACCACCGAGACTCAGGCCAATGGAGCCTGTTTCCTGAGTGTGGGAGATCTCTTGGACATTGTTCTCCCCTGACTAATGTGTGATCCATGTCATCGTCACTCATTTCCCAAAGCTTCTAGAGAATTGAATGGACCTTGAATCCTGACCATAAACAGTTGTGAAATTTTAAATGTAAGAGGCCAAATTCAGTGCTTATTTCCACATTATCCAATTCCATTGATTCCGGGTGAAACTTTGGGGCCAAAGAATATAACCATCAGTTCATTAACGTCACAGGGGGCCGTGTCCTTTACCTACCCACTTCCACAATAGATGGTAAAAACGTCAAAGAGAAACTGACAGAAATAGCAACCACAATAATAGTAGGGATGTGACTCAAACTGCCCGGCAGGAAATGGATGATTCAGCCTATGTTACCCTTGCTGCCTTATGTACCAGATACGGCTGTAGAGAAGGCTCTATCCTGATGCACCTCCAGTCCATTTCTGAGTGTTTCTGCTGCTGCATTATTCCCTATATCCATGCTCTTCATCGTTAGATTATCTAGGTAGCAGGACATGTCCTATTCTTAATTTCTTTTATTGATTTTCATCAAAGCCCGGACACTATTTGAAGTTTGGACCAGGTCAGTAGTGATCAAAAACGGTTACAGTCTTGAGGGTGTTTTGTGACTTATATATGGAATAAGTTGATCTCAATCTGTTTCCAAGTGGTACAAGTATCCCACCTCTCACCCAGAGAGCGGAAGGATTGAGTGAGCCAGGCAGACTGAACTCTCCTTGTTTGCCTGTGGGTGGTCCCTCCATCAGAGAGATGAAACATGGTGTGGGTTAGGGAAATTTAACCTATCCTGTGGATAAACAGAGGCCTTCAGTTTCCAGGCTTGTCAGCTCACCAATTTCCACCAGCACTAAATTCACTGCAAACATTTAGAAAATAAAATAATAAAACAGTTTGACTTGTTACTGTTTGCTTGTTTAGGTCTGTGATTATTTGGGGGAGCTACAGTTACGCTGGGTCTATAAGGGGAAGGTGTCTAGTGGGAGGTCAGCTACAACTGGCTTGAAGTGACCATCACCCAGGTGGCTGTTACAGCCTAATTAGAAGAGGGCACACACACTAGTGGTGGTGATGGTGGGAGGTAGGGCTGTACTGTGAGAGTTGTTATAATGGGGTTTGAGCGGAGCGAATGGGTTTGTATTCTAATGGTGTTATGGTTTGAATGGGGCTGCAAGTTGATGGTGCAGTGGCTGGCCACAAGGAATGTTATACTGTGGTGGTAATTATGGGAGTAGAGGGTGAGTGGGGCTATGGGGTGTTGTGATGGGTTACATACAGGATGGTGGGGTGAAGGGGACTGTGTAGCATTGCAGGATTGGAAATGAGTGTTTGTGGGGGACAGGAGTTATGAAGAGTTGTGGGATATGGGGTTTTGAGGGTTGGGGATTAGGGGTGAGTGGAATTGGGGGGGATCTGTGGTTTATAAGAATGTTATGGGTTTAAGAGAAAAGTGGGGTCTCTGGGGGCTGCAGGGCAGGCTTCCAGCCATGTGGGAGGTGGTGTGGCTGAGACAGTTTGAAGTTATGGGGTTTAAGGGATTTGGGATAATGTGGTGTTCAG